CTAAAGGACTTGAGCTGATTATCTTAATAAAATTTGATCCTTCAAACTCAGAATACTGTCTTATAATACAAAGCCCAAATGAGCCCTGTGCTGCCAAACCAAGCACTTGTGACATGGCCCAGTGCTATTGTGTTTGGATGCTGCTTGTTGCAGAAGTTCCTGAATCGAACCCAGCAGCCGCCCCGCTAAACACCGTGGGTGTGTTAAAAATAAATATGCAGCGTCTGCGCACAAAGTGGATGTTCAGGATCCCGTGATGTCAATTTGAAAATGAGTAAGGCCACTTGTACCAGTGTTGCGGTTCAAATTATAAAAACAAATATTAACAAATTATTCAGTTGAAATAAACCACATGGCAAGATCACTTACTAATGCCAGATTGTATTTCCCTGTGAACAATAGCGCTTTCGTGATAACCTCACGCTATTAGAATGGTACGAATACCAAAGGTACAATATTATTACATGTGTGGTAGCCAGAAAAAAAAAGTTCTTGATACAACTCTCACTTACCGCAGTATCTTTTTGTGTAGAGTACTCATCATTAAGGAGCACAACTATGGAGATATTAAATCTGTCTGCAGACACCAGCTGAGCTGACATTAATCAAATCGTCATGATGCCAGTGAGCGAGGGGAGCGCTGAGAGAGCAATGCTTCGTTCTTTTCAGTGATACGCAAATAGCGCGACCTCCCCTCCGCCCCGTAAGGAACACTTTGCTCAAAAACACCAATTATTGCACAATCGCGCAACTGAACTGTTGTTGCGTGAAGACGGCTGACCGATGCCAGGAAACGATCTCTGGATTTTGGATACTTTTTTTTTGGAGCAAATGTGTTGATTGTTCTGTCATCGCCATTGAGTTGTCATGCTTGTGGCTCGCGTGAGCTCCGCGCGCTGCTTGTTCCTGCCGGACGATTCCTTTTCGTTATGACACCGACGGGGGGCACGTGAAAAATAGCGCGGCTTATTATTATTATTATTTTTTACTTTACTGCAGGTGCTAAAGGTTCACCTTGACATTTGTAGACTTGTGCTTGACTAATAAATAAAATTCCTGACAGACCATAAGTCAATGTTTTGAAATGCAAATGCGTGCAGCCATATGCCGGTGAAGGGTTGGCAGGAGACATTAAATTTCGCGGAATTTCCCTTGTTAACTTGAGATGTGCGTAACAAGGCGCTTGCATTGTTCATTGCTGTCCATACATTGTAGAACCATCATTTAGTAAGGGCAGCTTAGTGGCTGTAAGCACAGTGCATTGCACATTGCTCGGCGGTTACAAAAACACATTTATCGTCGCCCATAAAAGTGTACTCCAACTGCAGAGAACACAAGTAGTGTATTTTTTTTATTGTGTCATTACATTAGGCTCTTTCATAAAATCCCATAGTCACTGTGCCTATGGGGAGAAAGACATGCATGGCTACTTGCACACGAGATATGTTATTTACAGCACATTTCGTTGGCTAAAACACATGTTTGCGATGTTATTCGATGCTTGACAAGTTGAATGGGATGGAGCTTAAACTATTCTGGCACAGGTAGATTTAATTAAATATGAAACTTCTGTAATTTGCTGAATACCAACAAGAGCATACTCCCAAGTGGATATGGAATTAAGCAAGGCTAGGTTCTGGAAATTAGTTTTGGTGGATATAACTTATCTTGGGGACTTAAGACATTCTAAGATTTAGCACCTTACTCTGCCCATTAACACACGGTGCCACGGAGGCGAGATGTTAACTACCTCGCCTGGTGTGCAGGAGGTCGTGAGTTCTATCCCGACCCTCACGCCTGCTGCATTTTTGGAGTTTGCATGTTCTCCCCGTAGTCGCGTGGATTTTTCTCCTGGTCCTCCGATTTTTCCCTCCACATTTAGAAACATGCGTTGAGAGTATGTGTGTGCTATAAATGTCCACGTGATAAACCACTTCGTTGAGCTATCATTTGTGGTTAGGTTGCTTCTGAAAAAAGAGCTGTATAGCTCAGTGGGCATTACCTGGTAAAATCAAAAGTTCCGTTTTAACAATCTTTGCCATACTTATGCTGCTCTACGGAAACAGTCAGCAATTTCCACCCATAACCTGCTGAGCATGCTCACAACTGGACATTGCCAAGTAAAGCGTACATTTGAAGACTTTATTACATTATTTACCAATTCACTCCCATGTATTCCGTGGTGAGATGACAACCATCATAGGAGTCTATTTCGTTTTGAACTATTACGACTCTGCAAAGCCGTAGCCATGGAGTCAACATTGGGGGGCACCAAATCTTCCAGGGGATCTAGGGGTCGCCCCCCCAGAAAAAATATATAAATTTGAAAACTAATTTCCTGCCTAAAATAAAAATAATATTCACTAACACATGGGATGGACTTTTTATTAATATTTTACAATAATGTCTAATAGTGTATTGTATTATATTGCTCTGTTTTTTTACCTTTTCTTGTTTCATTGTATGTAATGACAGAGATGATGGATTAATAAAGTACAACCATAACCACAATCATAAAAACAGAAATGTATGCATTGTTATATGAAGACAAGTCCAGATATTGTGGCCAAGGTTTAGCAAATTTGATTTTAAGCTTTCGTGACTGCAGGAATTACTCTTACCAGTGGCAATGTATTTACATAGATTAGCAATTTTTTAAAAATATTGCTTATAGCAATATATTGGGGGGGGGGGGGGGGGGGGGGGGGGGGGGGGACATTTTGAGCACATTTGAATATTGCGACTCTGTTTTGTAAAAAAAAACACTTGCTGAGCACAGTGGGCCCCATGGCCCAAAATATTCAATGGCCGACAAACAAACAGCACCTTCAAACTTGTAATAGCTGCCAAGCAGCCAGATGGGCCAGCGACCAGGATTGATTCACAGTTACAGCATTTGGAGGTGACCTGTGATGTTAACAAAGGGTGAGGACATCGCAGAGTGCCGGATGGCTATAGCTGGAGCAGTGTGGAGGAAGAGCAGAGAAAGAGAACGAGACATAAGGAGAGAGAATGAAGTCACTGAGCCTTGAATAACAGCATTACAGAGGTAGGCTTTGAGGATAGACAGAGCAAACATTATTTGTGCAGGATGAGCTAGACTACAAACAAGCTAGTGCAAAAACCGGGGAAAAGAACAGTTGTAGGAGCAGTGACGTATTTAGAACTTATTTCGCACCGTACGTAACCAACCGTGCTAATCGGAGGCGTGGGGGAAGGACAACACACTAAACACAAATAGCAGTTCTAAAGAAATTAGTTTTTAATCTCGATGATTTAAGAGTGCACAGCTCCAGTGGCTTCCGAATATCGCAAGGAAGGGCGTTCCAGACGGCCGCGGAAAGGCGATGCAGAGGTGAGGTGCTGTGGTTGGTGTGGCTGCTGGAGTACTTTACTCTTTGGTTCTATTCGGTAAAGTCACGTAGGTAAAAAAATAAAACAACAAAAAATCACGACGTTTCGGCCACAACACAAGCGGCCTTCATCGTGATTTTTTGTTGTTTTATTTTTTACCTACGTGACTTTACCGAATAGAACCAAAGAGTATGGATCCTTGCAGTCACGAAAGCTTCAAATCTAGAATTGCTGGAGTACTGCTGGAGGACTACTGAGGTACTGCTGGAGCCTCTCGGAGTATGGCTGGGGCAACAACTGCTGCCGTGGCTGCTGGAGGAGTGACCGCCACACAGGAGAGGAGTTGGGGAGTCGCTGCCGCCCCCCGCAGTCTCGATGCGGCCTCTCCGCCCTCACCCGTCAGGGGCAGGGAGCTGCCCGGGCAGGAGCGCAGCGGTCGGTGGCGACTGCGGGCGGCTGGGCGCAGCTGCTGCCACTCCGCGTGTGTGTCTGTGTGTGTCTGTGTGTGTGTATATCTGTGTCTGTGTGTGTGTGTATATCTGTGTGTGTGTCTGTGTGTGTGTGTCTGTGTGTGTGTCTGTGTGTGTGTGTCTGTGTGTGTGTGTCTGTGTGTGTGTATATCTGTGTGTGTGTCTGTGTGTATGTCTGTGTGTGTGTCTGTGTGTATGTCTGTGTGTGTGTCTGTGTGTATGTCTGTGTGTGTGTGTCCTTGAAATATCTAGGCAAGGTCCCATCGGTGAGCTCCTCAGGCAGGCAAGGCTGCGTTGGCTGGGTCATGTAGCCCGCATGCCCAGCCACCGCATGCCGAAACAGCTTTTGTTCGGCCGGATCGAGGGGGCTAAACGGGCGCGGCACGGGCTAGCGAAGAGATTGAGTGATGTGGTACAGCAGGACGTGGAGCTGAGTGGACTTGCCGATGACTGGTACCAGCGGTGTCAAGATCGGCCTCTGTGGAGGAGGCTCGTGAAGGACGCTACTGGGCAGTTGGAGGCAGTCGCCCTCCAACAACAACGGAGGGCGGAGGAGCGACGCTCACAACAACGAGCGGAGCGCCGGGTGGCTAAAGCACAGCAGGTTGGCACAGTAGGGGGCACAGGTGGTGCATCAGCCAGTCATCTCAGTCAGTTGACCCGTGGCACCTGGGTCTGCCCCGTGACCTCCTGCCAGCGGGCGTTCGACACTTCACTTGGCCTCAAGGTGCACATGGCCTGGCACAAGCGTCGTGGTGATGCCACCGCCACTTAGTAGCGAATGGCGGCTGTTGTGTCTGTGTGTGTGTGTGTCTGTGTGTGTGTGTCTGTGTGTGGGGAGCGGTGGTGTAGCGGTTAGCGCTACGCTGCACTATGAACCTGGCTACCCAGATTCGACTCCCGCTCACGGCCAACACCAAGTGACGATTATTTGAACCGGTCCTGGGCCTCCCATAGGTCGACTCAGCCTCAAATGAATGCCCAGTGCGGTGTGTAAACATCGTCACTGGGGAGACAAAGGCGGCCGGGCGTGATGCTGGTCACCCACCCCCTCGTGTACCGTTCCGGCCTTCATAGGTGCTCGCTAACAGCACTTGCCCCTACAGTCTGTTAAGGCTATACGGGGGATCTTTGTGTCTGTGTGTGTGGGGGGGGGCGAGGGGAGCTGCCTGGCGAACGGCGAGAGCGACCGACCGGCCCTTTGCCGCTCCACCTCGCAGCTGGGAAGCCGTGGGGGTTCGCCCACCGGTGTGTGAGGGTCGCAGGCAAGCGTCGTGTGTGTCCCAGTGAAAGTTGATGCTGGCTGTGCGCAACAATGTTGCCGGGGCAATGTTGCGGGTAAACGCCCTGGGCAAGGGGGATTGATAGGGTTGTGCAAGTCCTGCAAACGTCACCACCACCATTACCACCACCATCACCACCACCAAACCGACTCAGCGGCAGGGAGACCAAGTCACCCCCATCGTGAGTGAATGTCGGCAGAGGGGACCCGCAGGGCGGTGCAGAGCAGAGGAATGGCTCATTTTGAGTCGTGGACTTAATTCGTGAACGCGAGAGACATTGTTGCATGTGACGTTTACAGTTTCAAGTCAATATCACATTGTGTACACAAAGGTTGTTAATTTGATTTTGCTACTCTTTGGTTTTTTCGGTAAAGTCACGTATAAATAAGAAATAATAAAATAACATAATAGCGTACGACGTTTCGGTTGCAACACAAGCAGCCATCATCAGGTACAGAAGAGCTAAATTTGGTAGAGAGGGGAAACACATAACCTCAGATGTATATACAGACACCCAAGTAGAGGGAACTAACACAGATACAACAGGGGACACAGAGAGAGAATCATACCAGACAAACAGGGTTTAGCTAAAACATTTTTGGAATAACGTGATCAACCGGACTATGCGTTAATTGTGTTTTGACCGACCGTCTGTGTTGCTTTACATGGTTCCAAAAATTTTGCTAAACCCTGTTTGTCTGGTATGCTTCTCTCTCTGTGTCCCCTGTTGTAACTGTGTCGTTCCCCCTACTTGGGTGTCTGTATATACATCTGAGGTTATGTGTTTCCCCTCTCTCCCAAATTTAGCTCTTCTGTACCTGATGGTGGCTGCTTGTGTTGCGACCGAAACGTCGTACGCTATTATGTTATTTTATTATTTCTTATTTATACGTGACTTTACCGAAAAAACAAATAGTAATTCCTGCAGTCACGAAAGCTTCAAATCAAGTATGATTTTGCTACATTTTCGAATTTAAAGTCTAACACGTCCGTGTGTGTGTTGAGCGTCCCACGCACGGCCAATGACGATTATCTGAACCGGTCCTGGATCTCCCCTAGGTCGATTCGGTCTCAAACGAGCACCTGGTGCGATCTGTTGATCATCGCCACTTGGGAGACAAAGGCGGCCGGGCGTGTTGGTGCTGGCAACCCACCCCGTCGTGTGCCGTGCCGGCCTTCACAGGCGCTGCTACTCGCTAACAGTGCTTGCTACAGTCTGTTACAGGCTACACGGAACCGCGACCCAAGGGGGCTAGTCTAACTCATAAGTGGAACGTTAGGCTCCCCCATCACGAATAATATGAATATATACTTTTAAATCTCACGCAGATAAAGCGTTAACACGTTTTTTTTTCATGAGCAAGTGGTTAATTGCAACGGCTTGGTGGAAAAGAGATCGCGCACGCGAGGGAATTCAAAAGTGGAGAGAGAAGCGTTGTGACCTGCGGGGTGGTGAGTGGATGAGTGAGTGTGAGTGGGTGAGTGTGTTGTTGTGACCTGCAGTGTGGTGAGTGTGAGTGGGTGAGTGTGGGTGTATGAGTGTGTTGTTGTTACCTGCAGTGTGGTGAGTGGATGGGTGAGTGTGAGTGGGTGAGTGTGTTGTTGTGACCTGCAGTATGGTGAGTGGATGGGTGAGCGAGTGTGTTGTTGTGACCTGCGGTGTGGTGAGTGTATGGGTGAGTGTGAGTGGGTGGGTGAGTGTGTTGTTGTGACCTGCAGTGTGGTGAGTGGATGGGTGAGTGTGGGTGGGTGAGTGTGTTGTTGTGACCTGCAGTGTGGTGAGTGGATGGGTGAGTGTGAGTGGGTGAGTGTGTTGTGACCTGCAGTGTGGTGAGTGGGTGAGTGTGGGTGGGTGAGTGTGTTGTTGTGACCTGCAGTGTGGTGAGTGGATGGGTGAGTGTGAGTGGGTGAGTGTGTTGTTGTGACCTGCAGTGTGGTGAGTGGATGGGTGAGTGTGAGTGGGTGAGTGTGTTGTGACCTGCAGTGTGGTGAGTGTGAGTGGGTGAGTGTGAGTGGGTGAGTGTGTTGTTGTGACCTGCGGTGTGGTGAGTAGATGGGTGAGTGTGGGTGGGTGAGTGTGTTGTTGTGACCTGCAGTGTGGTGAGTGTATGGGTGAGTGTGGGTGGGTGAGTGTGTTGTTGTGACCTGCGGTGTGGTGAGTGGATGAGTGAGTGTGGGTGGGTGAGTGTGTTGTTGTGACCTGCAGTGTAGTGAGTGTGGGTGGGTGAGTGTGTTGTTGTGACCTGCGGTGTTGTGAGTGGATGAGTGAGTGTGGGTGGGTGAGTGTGTTGTTGTGACCTGCAGTGTGGTGAATGGATGGGTGAGTGTGGGTGGGTGAGTGTGTTGTTGTGACCTGCGGTGTGGTGAGTGGATGGGTGAGTGTGGGTGGGTGAGTGTGTTGTTGTGACCTGCAGGGTGGTGAGTGGATGGGTGAGTGTGGGTGGGTGAGTGTGTTGTTGTGACCTGCGGTGTGGTGAGTGGATGAGTGAGTGTGGGTGGGTGAGTGTGTTGTTGTGACCTGCAGTGTGGTGAGTGGATGGGTGAGTGTGGGTGGGTGAGTGTGTTGTTGTGACCTGCAGGGTGGTGAGTGGATGGGTGAGTGTGAGTGGGTGAGTGTGTTGTTGTGACCTGCAGTGTGGTGAGTGGATGGGTGAGTGTGAGTGGGTGAGTGTGTTGTGACCTGCAGTGTGGTGAGTGTGAGTGGGTGAGTGTGAGTGGGTGAGTGTGTTGTTGTGACCTGCGGTGTGGTGAGTAGATGGGTGAGTGTGGGTGGGTGAGTGTGTTGTTGTGACCTGCAGTGTGGTGAGTGGATGGGTGAGTGTGGGTGGGTGAGTGTGTTGTTGTGACCTGCGGTGTGGTGAGTGGATGAGTGAGTGTGGGTGGGTGAGTGTGTTGTTGTGACCTGCAGTGTAGTGAGTGTGGGTGGGTGAGTGTGTTGTTGTGACCTGCGGTGTTGTGAGTGGATGAGTGAGTGTGGGTGGGTGAGTGTGTTGTTGTGACCTGCAGGGTGGTGAGTGGATGGGTGAGTGTGGGTGGGTGAGTGTGTTGTTGTGACCTGCGGTGTGGTGAGTGGATGAGTGAGTGTGGGTGGGTGAGTGTGTTGTTGTGACCTGCGGTGTGGTGAGTGGATGGGTGAGTGTGGGTGGGTGAGTGTGTTGTTGTGACCTGCGGTGTGGTGAGTGGATGGGTGAGTGTGGGTGGGTGAGTGTGTTGTTGTGACCTGCAGGGTGGTGAGTGTATGGGTGAGTGTGGGTGGGTGAGTGTGTTGTTGTGACCTGCGGTGTGGTGAGTGGATGGGTGAGTGTGAGTGGATGGGTGAGTGTGTTGTTGTGACCTGCGGTGTGGTGAGTGGATGGGTGAGTGTGGGTGGGTGAGTGTGTTGTTGTGACCTGCGGTGTGGTGAGTGGATGGGTGAGTGTGGGTGGGTGAGTGTGTTGTTGTGACCTGCAGGGTGGTGAGTGGATGGGTGAGTGTGGGTGGGTGAGTGTGTTGTTGTGACCTGCGGTGTGGTGAGTGGATGGGTGAGTGAGTGTGAGTGGGTGACTTGTACTGCGGTGGTGGTTGAACAGTGGATGAGACCAGTCAGGCTGGTAGAGCAACTCATCATCATGGATGGAGGAATCAATAAGTGCAGTTCACGGGAGCGATAACTGTGGTAGTCGCAATGTAGAGATGATGAGCAACTGATAGCCGGTGAGCGAGTGATGAGGGCAATCAGTGAATGCTTCATCAGTAATCAACCCGACTGCTTTAAAACAACTTTTCCTTGCAGCTGAAGACATTATTCCTGAAGTACAGAGGTAATCTTATCGCCCGAATTGCAGCTGTGGACAGAGTGACGCGTGTCAGACAGCTACGTTCCATACCGTGCCGGCGAATGGGACGTCAAATACACATTAGGAATGCAGGCGTCAATGAGTCTGCAGTTACAGTACATGTTTATTTAGGTCAGAATCACAGCATAGATTGTAACGATCAAACCGATTCTCTGGCACCAAAAAACGATAATAGAATCCATATAAGTACAGTAAACAAGAAGTCACTTCAATTGTTCTGACCTTAGCGCAGTTTGGCGATGTCTATAGTTAACCAGCCATATACCAATACAGTACGTAACAATAACTATGAGCGGTTTAAATATCTCAATTGACAGACGCAAGAGCATCAACAATCGTGCAGTTGCAAGGTTTGTCCAGGACACGTGGCTGGGTGCGAGTATCCTCAAGACTCCAACTCGCTGATGTAATCGCATCCCCGGTCACTGACGCGGTCTAGTAGAACATCCAGGTCACCCAGAAGCATCCCAACGCCACCAAACCCCACGGAGACCTGAGGAAGTCCGAAGCAGAACGGGCGAACGTGATGACAGACCAGGCTCTTCTGACACCAGACTAATTCTGGTGCTGCTGCTCCACAGGCTGCCTGTTCTACAGCAAGTGGCTGTGACAGAGACACGTGCAGTCGGTGAGTATACACACATCTTGTCACAACTGAATAAAGTTTTAAAATTAAATTTTGACCGCTTTACGTTCGATTCAATAAAGTACAGGCAGGGACGGGACAGTGTGTGCCCCCCCTCCAGATATGACAGCAGTGTTGCAGGACGGGGGCTGAATTTGTGCTTGGAATAGTGGGGGATAATTGTTCGTTTTAAAGACGGCTTTTGGTCATCTTGAGGACCGTCCTGAATTCTATTTCTAGGACATGAGGACTCGTTCGATCTGCAGACGCTCTCGCCAGTGCACTCATTCGTCCTTCCACGTGTGGGACACGTATAGCCCCTCAATCCACCGCTGAATGAGGGCCTCCCCCCCACCTCGCACCATCTTTTGAAAGGTTATTTGACCATACTTCACCGCGCTGGGCATGGGAAGTCGATCCCAGACCAATCGGTTCTAGATCACGTTAAGGGGACGTTTCGGAATCCACTATATTTGGAATGAAACGGATTTGACACAAACCACAACGATCGCGTCAAAAGCTTGGCATTTAATTCCCACAATTATTTTATTGTTAATTTGAAAACACGGCATTTAATTAACAGCCATTAGTACAACATGATTCGATTCTTGCACTGCAATCTGTAGTTGAAAGGATAAATTATTGGTGTGAGGTGGTTTGTATGAAAATTGTTCTCGTGAGAATTATTAATTGGTTAGGTTTAAAAAATAGTATTAGGTGTGAATTGTTATTATGAATTCGTGAGTTTTTTTTATAAAGTAATTTTTAGTGTGAATTGTGATCATGTATTGGTTATTTTTATATTTTTACTGGATACTTTTTCAATATACCGTATTTATATGTAGGTACAGTATCTATATTCAGAACCTTCAGTTAATTCTCATTCTGTTTCTGTACATAGTAAAATAATATCACTTTAATTGTTTATGCTGTTTTAGTCCTGCAATAAATAATACATTATAAAACAAAACGAAGGATTTGTAAGAAGTGTGTTTTTGGAATCTAAATAAGAATCGATTACCACGCTAAGGCCGAATTTGAGAATCGACTCCAAAAATCTTCGCATCGTCCATCCGTTCAGGGAATCCTCTACTTACGAACGAGTTAGGTTCCAGAGGTCTCTTCGTTAATTCGATTTGTTCACATGTCCAACTTTACTCATGTCCATTCCAAACATGTTGTACGGCATGTACACTAAACACGGAGAATGGCTGTAAAGTAGTATAATCTCCTGTAGATGCCACTGGTTCTTCACGTTCTGCAGATGTAGATGCCACCACCGCCATCTATTGCGCGGTGGTTTTAACTTAGGACTCTTGGTTCCGGACAGGCAACTGGACATACGGACAGGTTTGTTCGTGTCTCTGAAAGTTTGTAAGTCGAACGTTCGTAAGTAGGGGAGTCTCTGTACATTGGATTTTGCTGCATTACTCTCTGCTGCTCACGATGCCTACTTCACCTGTTGATCGTGCTTTGTGGGTCACCCACCGAAGCTACTCTCCAGGTTAAAATCTGCTTCAGTTCTGCGGTCAGGCACATTCCGGTATTTGTTTAATCGAGCTCAAAATGTGCATACACGCGTAAAACTGTATAGGGAAATACATTCTCACTGCGGTACACTCGGTAGGGTGTTGTCTAAGGCAGAACGCGCACCATCATGCATACCTTCATAAGCATGGCTGCAGCGTATTTTGTTCTTGCAATTTGCGCTTCGATGTCTCTTGGAAAAAAAAGCGGTTTTTAAAATACATTTTAATTGCATCGCGGGGATTTTTGCATGGAGGAATTAATTGATTTTTACAGTCATGCGCAATGCAGTGCTTTTGGTATCATTTGTAATATTCAGATTTATGTTGTCTGACAAGTGGCAACTAATAATTGATTGTCTTTAAGTTTGCTAGTCTTGTTTTCATTTGCATGCAAATTGATTTTAATTGGAACAACATCCTCAATGATGAACATTCGCTGCAGCTAGTTGCCCACTTACTGAATAAGCAAAATTAACCTACGACATTGTAATCATACTGTTACCCACGTGGCGATACGTTTCCCCTTTGAATTTCAATAATAACAAGGCCTTTGTTTTTTTATTCAAATATTTTCTGGGGGGTGGGGGGGCGAAAAAATCCATACAGCAATGTTCCCACTTTGTGCGAGTTCAAAGTGGGAAGAATATGGAAACAGGCTATGCCCGATGAATTTGCATAGGAACCATTATTGCTTCAATCAACAAACCTACAGGCTAGCAATTAACCAATGTCCCTTGTCATATCTTAAGCGCACGTCCTAACAAGCCATTGCACTTTCAGTCACTGTCTTCCTTTATGTGCATCGCACACAGATTTGCGCCATCTGTACGAGGGATCTGCGAGCTACACAACTTTGTTGCGCTGATCGAACGTTGGCATTTTTAGGGTTGATTCAGAGAGTATTTCAGGTTCATGGAAACAGGCTATGCCCGATGAATTTGCATAGGAACCATTATTGCTTCAATCAACAAACCTACAGGCTAGCAATTAACCAATGTCCCTTGTCATATCTTAAGCGCACGTCCTAACAAGCCATTGCACTTTCAGTCACTGTCTTCCTTTATGTGCATCGCACACAGATTTGCGCCATCTGTACGAGGGATCTGCGAGCTACACAACTTTGTTGCGCTGATCGAACGTTGGCATTTTTAGGGTTGATTCAGAGAGGTTTCATGTTTGGTTTACGTACCATTTGCACATAAATATAGTAGAACACATGACTACAATTTCTACAAAGCATTTATATTGCATCCCAACCTGGATTTCCTACTGCATTTGAATGCATAATTCCTATAATTGGTAAAATTGTACTGTGCATGTTTTTTTGTAGCCATTACAAATATATTTGGCCAAATTAATGGATAAGGTTGTGTAACAATGAACACTACCTTTTTTTTAAATTACATCACTAATTTACATCTCACCCATTCTCACCGATTCCTCTAAAGTTAATTGCTGTGGGGGGTACCTGCTGGGCTCTGGACTGAATGTAAAGGTTTGCCTCAATCCCATTAAAATGTCCTTCACTCGGCAATTAGCGGCATGCGGGCGCGCACTGCAGCATGCAGACACGGTGTGAACGTGCGTGCCGCCATGTGGATTGCCCTTCTTTCATGTGGACAGGGTCATTTCACGTCGAGGGTCTGAAAGCTTCGCGATAACACCTATTGGCGTAACCCAGACGGTTTTGGGGGCTTCCTGGTGTGATCCACGCCGTGGCCGCATAACGACGCACATTTGAAAAGTATTTCAGGTTCATCCCATGAATAATCGCAGCCTTTCGCAAGTATGCGTGCGAGCGTGTACGCGCGTTTGTGATTCCACGCCTGTGCACAGGTATGCGTTCACGAGAAGAGCCCAATGTACAACATCAGAATCAGGTGATCTCTGTACTTGTTCTGCGAGGGTCATCCTGGGTCAACGTAGCCTTAAATGAATAACTGGTTCAGTGTGTAAAACACCAGCAACTCGGGAGACATGGGCAGTCGGGTATTTCGCTGTCCACATCAGCCACTTTACGTGCGAGATGTTAAGAGGTGCTCATGAACAGCATTTTCCCACATGGTCTTTAATGATCCTCGTCCTTTTTGTGTCTGTGAATTTTTATAGAAAGACATGCTCTGGTCACCGGGGGTTGTTTTGACCACACCTCACCGTACTGCTCAGTGCAAGTTGGTGAAAGGTTCGGTGTGGGGCGGATGGGGAGGGGAGACCAGAACCAGTTTATATTTGACTTACCGCTAAAGTTAGCCGTGGCCAGGAATCGAACTCCGGTCATCAGATTCCTAGCGTAGGCTACTTGGTCACTGCTACAACCACTTGCCCACATATAGCGCATGCCGTAAACTCAAGGCGTTTGGCAGCCCATTTATATATTTATTTAAGATATCTGCTACTACAAGAGGCCACGGTGCCGACACTCTTCATTAACCTTGGTGTGTCAAGCCCCACGTATGATTGGTGGGTTCGCTCCACCAAGTCCTTTGCAGTGGCACTGGTGGGTGACCTTAAGCGGTGAGCCCGACGCGTAGTGCACTCACTCTTTACACCAGTCTCAAGCAGCTGCCCTCTTACACGACCACCACGGGTAGATATAATTCTGCCTTTGGATCGATATGTTTGCACCAGAGCATTTGGATAATAAAATGCCCCGTGTAAAGTGCGATAAAAAATCCGTACGCTTTGGCACGGCAAACACGATACTTTTGGCTGTGCAAACAACGTACATTGAGCCGCTGGCGTTTAGTGTCATTGTAACTTCAGTTTCGTTGTTTTGCTGCATAGTAGAATTACTCTGAACATGCGAACGGTCATGAATGAAAGATGCATTTATCGATGTTGGGTCAACGTTGGGATGTTGTCAACGAGAACCGGCGAAAGGAAAATTCACTATGTAACACGATTTTTTGTTCCTGGGTAGTAAGTGTTATTTTCTAATTGCGTATGCTTCAAAAGTACAGAAAATGGCTATTATTATTATTCCCCACAAACTTTGCTTTTGTGACCAGGACTTTATGTGAAGGGATGACACAAATGCACACGTTTTCTCATTGAAAATAGGTACATTTAAAAATATCACTGTCCTGGTCACAAAAGAAAAGTTTGTGGGGAATAAATAGCCATGGTATGTACTTTTGAGGCATAAATAACACTTACAACCCAGGAGCAATTTTTTTTCCACAGTGAAATTATGCATTCGAATACACCTTCACAAACATTGCAATTGCGTTCCCATATTCTTTCGCCAAGTCACCGAGAATCCATCTGATCTCATCAGATCATGGAAGCTAAGCTGGGGTTCGGCCTGGATAGTCCTTGAATGGGCAACTATTGTGCACAGCACGGTGAAGTATGGTCAAATATCCTTCATGGCCCGTAAGATGGTCGGGAGGCCATCATCCAGCAGTGAATTGACAAAACGGGATGTGCGTATTCTTTTAAGATGTGCTCACCTGTGTTGGTGGTCGAGTCTGT